CCTAACAAGTTTCAATAATTACATTAAATACTTTTTAGTACGATTTTACTAATAAAGTTTTCTCGAAGAAATGAGATCTCTTGCCTTTTATAATTTGAATAAAAGAAAATGGCCTTTTTCAGATTCATTATAAATAAAAATGATGATCTCTTATAAAAAAAAATATAAAATTTTAAATAAATTATAAATGGTTAGAAAATCATTTCTATGAAATTGCTTATTATATAACTTAAAAATGACTTAAATGTCCTTCGTGTAGACTGTACCTATTAATAAATTTATGGTTTTAAAAACAAGAATATTGGGCTTTATGCATGTATAGGTTAAATGGCCAACCAAAAGAGAGCATGCTGTCCATTGTTTTATATAATTAAAATTATTAATATATATTGTTTGGCTTAATTAATTGAGAAGAGACACTAAAACGAAATAACGAGTAGTCACTTCTCCAAAATAATATAAAGAGTGGCATTGGGTGTGAAAATGCCAATAGATTATTAAATTCATCCGGAAGTTTCAATTCACCATCAATTAAACATATGATAAAATATTTTTATTAAATACTTTCAATTTAAATTTTAAAAAAACCTTCTACATGTACTGAATAAAAAGTAAAGAGTTAAATTTGCTCATGGACAAGTTGAATAAATGATACTATCAATTTATATAGGTTAGATAACTATTATGTATAATACATAAATATGACTTTTAACTTGGCTTTATGAGCTGACATCTATACTCTTTAATTTTGGATATGTACAGATAGACACTTAAATTTATATAAAATTAAACAATCAAACATATGTGTCATACGTGATATAACATATGAAGGATATAAATCGTCATGTAGGATGTCGCGTAGGACACATGTATCTATTTAATTTATTCAATTTTATACAAGTTAAAGTGTCTATTTATCAACAATCAATATTAAAAGTTATTAATGTCAGTTAAAATCAAATTAAAAAATACATTTATGTATTATGATAATCAATAGCCAAGAGTAAAGGAAGCAAATAAAACTCCATCCAAAGAACTAGAAAGAAAAAGACATTTTAGTCAATTTTTATATGCACTATAAAAACCATATAGACAATAAAGGGTATGTAGATGCTGAGTCAATTAAAACATATTATATGGTAATGATAATTGATAATACAAAAATAACAATAGTACAATTAGGTAGCAATAAGTGGAGTTAATTTGTGTGAATATGTTATAACTTATAGGTGCATGTAACACACACGTGTTGATATGCTTTGGCCATGTGCCCTCACACTCCCATTTTCTTATTTACCTCATTACATGTATTTATGGCACAAGCAAATATTATAATGGCGTGTACCATACCATAATTTTACTCACGAGTCACATTATAAATTGTTATATAAATATAGCCTTTTTTTTTTCCTCTTTAATTTAACTGTCTATTATTGAAAACTGATTAATTCATGTGCGAGAGAGTAAGGTGGAATTCGTGCAGAAAGTTTTTGTTACGTTCACGCTTTGAGAGGTATTTTTTTATTTTATGTTTGATTAAAATTTGCAAGAATATTACTAAAATTTGTTTTATGTGCGTGTCTTTTTAATTTTGCTTCCGTTGTATACGTAGTTATAATTCTAACAAGGAAAATTCCCTGTTTATAATGAGAAAAAATATTTTGTCATTTAGACATTTTTGTGTTTTGCTTTTTTAAAATAAGAATTTATTTATTTATTATTTCCAAAATACTCATATATTTTTGTTATTTCATTTTTTTATAAAAACTAAACAAAAACCAAAACTTGGAGATGAATTTGTGCACATGCAATATACTCACAAAACTCCATCCAATACACTCCACCGAAAATAAGTTTAAAACGCAACTAACACTAAGCAAAATTTTAACCTAAGCCAAATGCCTATATTTTAATTATCCTATAGACTATAACAATAATTCAGTGTGATTCCAAAAATAAAATTTACAAAGAATTAGTATATACATACCTTATTTCTATAGAAAAAAACTTGCGGGTCATCGATCAACTATAATACGTAATAATAATAACTTAAACTGTTGGTTCATGTATGTCTCGCAAGTCGCAACAAACAAGAACCTTCAAGGAAATCATCTATGGGCTTTTTGCCTGACTTTGGTTGGCGAATAAGTTCAAATTTTTGAAACGTATATATGAACCTCTTGATGTACTCTAAGGGGTTATTTGATAGGCTGAATTAGAAGAAATAGTCCATGTATTATGTAAGGTATTATTTAGTATTATGTTTGGTAGGAATTTTAGCCTATGTATAACTAATCATCCTACATGTTATCATAGGATGTATTACTAATACCTTCCATTTGGAGGTATTAGTAATACATAGGATATAATACCATGAGATAAGTCTATGTAAAGACAAAAATATCCCTCAAATTATTTTAATTATTTTGTATTTTCTTGATTTTGTGTGGTTTTCTAATTATTTGTATTTTGAACAATTTAAAAAATTACATACATATTAAAATTACAACTTGCAATTTTTATATGTAAATACAGATGGTTTATTTCATTTTACCATTGTTGACCATCTTTTTGATATTAAAAGTAGATGATTTATCTTTTTTAAATTTAAAAATGACATTTTGTGAGTGATCAATTTATTAAGATGACAATTATTTATCCTCAAATAATTCAAGTGAAAAAATAGCAAACATGACATCAAAATAGTTCTTCTCATAGCTAGTTAGAAGGCTATAAAAAATAATATTGTCTGACAATTATCTACCTTGACCCAATTATATAATAATTCAAGGGTATATTTGGAAAAAAACTTTTTATAGAGTTTTAATCCAAATACAAGATAAGGTGGGAAACAATGAACCAAACACTTGATAAAAATAAACTTTGCATTACTAATTCCTGCCCTACTAATCCTTGCATTACTAATCCCTGTGTTATTAATCCATACGTTATTAATCGTTGCACCAAACGATCCCTAATTTTAACTTGGATATCACATTTAATCCCCCAAAGAATTTAAACTTAGTAATATGAGTATCTAATTGATATATCACGTATTGTGTCTTTACCATTAAAAAAAAAGTCACAAAACACCTAATAAGATGATCACTTATCGGTCATATTTCACAGGTCCGTCGATAGTTGTCTAGTTTTAGGGCTAAGAGTAGAAATTTTAAAAATATAGCCTGTATAGGTGTTAAAATTAGTAGGCTTTTTTAAACTTATATTACTTGATATTTGAAATTAAAGTTGAAAAAAGTAATATTTGATATACTAAGTAATTAATTTGTGTTTAGCGTGGAAAGACAATTCAAAATTTGTAAATAAAAACTTAAAACAAACTTTGAAGAATATCTAAAATTTAATTTTCAAATTTAAAATTTAAAAATAAATAAATATTTATTTAAAATATTTTTCAAATAATATTTTAATATTTTTGAATCAAATATATGGATAAAAATAAACAAGCTAGAGTGGAATATTATCTTGGTGGGGGCAAGGTGTGGGGTGTTGCCCATAATACAATGCCTCGATAAAGTCGATTCAATCATAGAATATATACACAAAATGTTTGATTATGACTTATGAGGATATCCTTATTTTTTGGATAATATACAAACAAGAAAATTAATAAAATACCTCTTCCTTTCTTGGTGGAAGTGCTATAGCTTTTGTTATTATATATATGTATACCCTATATTTTAATTTAAGACAAATTTTAATTTTATGAATTAAAAAATTAACATTTGATTTCTTTCTGATATTAAGTTTTTCGAAGAGAAAAAACTTCTTACAGTCTCACAGACGTCTTTACTAATATCTATCAATATATTTAAAGTAATAAAGAGGTTAATACCATCTATTTCAAAAGTTCTAAGAATTTGATTAATGTACTTAAATACATAAAATGCACCAAAACTCAAATCGTTGTATTGATCATTAATTACAACTTCAATAAATAATTATATAAAAAAAATAACAAACTTGAACATCATCCAATTATAGACCACACAAGTCACTAGACAAGGCAACATGATTAACAATTCGTGAATTGGGTATATATTCCACTTTATCATTGCAATCTTTGAATTTTTATATTTCTATTTTTGTTTCATACATAAATATTAAACTCAAAAATTGAAATCACATTATTTTCTTAACAAAAAACATTATCAAGAACCTCTTAGGCCTCATGTCATAATCTTGATCGTGATAAGAAAAAATCATTTAGACAACCATCACTTTCACTTTACCTAAATTTCACTTCATAACCACAATCATCGATTATCACAATATTACTAAATGCACATACTCACAAAAAGATAACTATTTTCTCTCAAAGATTTTTTGTTAACTAAAATTCATTAAGTATTTGCAAAAATTAAATATGCTCACTTGACCAACTTATATAAAAGTATAGTTAATAAATCATTTTAAATTATCAGTATCTTTAATTTGAAATAGTAAGTTCTAGAGGAAGTCCTTATGAGAGAGAAAACCTTAATAGAGTAGCTGGCTTTATTTGTTGCCTAGTAGAACAATCTTTAATATTCTCTTTATTTTATTTATTTATTTTAACAAATCATTTTTTTTTCATAACTACATAAATAATATTAATAGTTAAATTTACAGTTTTAATAACATATTCCTCTAATTAAATTTTTCTTGAAAATCTTGGCAGATAAACATGAGTTAGTTATAATTAATATGAAAAGAGGAGCAGACGTCAATAACTTTAAATGTATAACCAAAAAAAAATATTTTATTTATTTTAAAAAACATTTATTTTTCTTTTTAATCTATTTTAAAAAAATAATCTATTATTTTATTTATTTATAATATTCGAATTTCAACTTTTCACGTGACAAAAGATATTCCTACACATTTAACGTAATTTTAATTTATTTTTTTAAATTTCGTGTCAATTTCAAGTGCACCATTCTTTTGTAAAGAGTAAAACTTTTTGGCTTTGTACAGTACAAGATGATGATGATGATCATTGCTATAAAGAGTACCCACAAGAAAAAGGAAAAATGAGTTCTTCAATAGTTTCATACCTTTTCTTTCACCTTTCTATGTAACAAAGAAGAAAGCAAAAGGGGTTAATCGTATAAAAAAAAGAGGTGGGTTTTATGAGCTGATGCTGAAATTGGGTTTCTCCAATAGCATGGATCTTGGCAAATCTTGGAATAGTAGTAGTAGTAGTAGTGTTGTCAGCTCTTCCCATAGTTTTAATTTCAGTTACTTCCATTCATTAACGTCAGCTCTCTTGTTTTTGTCTTTTGGGAGTTCAGTTTCAGTACCCAAAATGGCCTTATTTAATTTCTCAACCATTATACCTTCTTTTGATGATGATTTGATTGTAAAGTTTTCATCTTTTTCATTTTCTTGAAGAAGAAAGACTCCAATTTAATCAACATCACTCTCTCCTCAACTGTTTCTTTTGTTTGTTTGCTTAGTTTTCGTGATTGTTTAGTCTTGTATCGTCAGCCCCCTTTTGTTTTTGTTCTCTTTTTAAAGACCTAGAGAATGCTGTGTGCATCATTGCCAGGGTTGAGTCATCAACAGATGTTGGTTGGTGGTGCTGTCAAGGAACTTTCAGCAGCTATGGCTTCTTTGAATGTTTATAGCAGGTAAAGATTTGTGCTTTTTTGTTCAAGAATTGATTTGGGTTTTATTGGATTGTTTTATAGTTTTGCTGTTTGAGATGATTGATTGATGGGTTGTAAGTTTCATTGTTATTTGTTTATCTATGAGTAGACCCTTTTTTTGTTTGAATGTTTACAGCAGGTAAAGATTTGTGCTTTTTTGTTCAAGAATTGATTTGGGTTTTATTGGATTGTTTTATAGTTTTGCTGTTTGAGATGATTGATTGATGGGTTGTAAGTTTCATTGTTATTTGTTTATCTATGAGTAGACCCTTTTTTTGTTTGAATGTTTACAGCAGGTAAAGATTTGTGCTTTTTTGTTCAAGAATTGAATGGGGGGTTTTGGATTTTGGTTATTGAATTGTTTATTATTTTCTTGGTTTGAGATGAGTTGATTGATAGGTTGTAACTTGTAAGTTTCATTATTACTTGGTTGTTTATTAGAAGAACAAGCATTTTGTGTTGCTAGTACTAGGTAAATTCCCAGACCCTTTATTCTTTACGATCATCAGGTGTGGTTTTGATGGTCGTGTTGGATGTTGGATTGGGAATGAGAAAGGAAGATGGAACAAATTGGCTGCTGCAAGTACAATGGCACCAAAGAAGAGGAGGTTGAGCATTTCCCCTCTGGCTTCCTCTGCTCTAGCAGAAACCCCATATACATCTAGAGCCGAATTCTATCACGAGGTTGGGATTATCATTTCTTGTGATATGCCATCTCTATTCAATGTATTCATGTTGTTAAAAAGTCCTGATTTGGTATTATTAGTTTAATTTTTGCACTTTAATCAGTTTATTTCCACTAAACATTTTAAAAGGGCCTGTTGTCATTTGTCAATCGGAGTATGGTGGTATAAATTTTGGCGCGTTTATTGAGGATTTTGCAATTTGGCAGGTTCTTAACGATGCTAGAGAAAAATTTACCCAGGAGATATCTTTCCAATCCAAGGACAAAGATATTTCTTTGGCAAAGGTATTTATGAGTGTTGCTCACCTCTTTTTGTTCACAGCAGTTGATTTATTGCATTTTCGATTTCAAATAGCAGAAATGACTACGTTTACTTTGGACTCATATTCAAAAAATGACTAAGTTCACTTTGCGAGTAGCAATTTTGCATATTCTGTTCATAAATAGTTTTTGGCATTGAGTGATGGAATGGTAGTGTATGAAATGTTGACAGTTTTCATAAAGTAAAATCGTAAATTGGTTTTCTCCTTTGTTTTTAAGTGTATTGATCGTCCCTCGCGTGTGTTTTTTGTTTTCTATTTTACGTATAGGCTTTGCTTTACGTGGCCTCTGAAGACGAGGCATTTATGGCTTTCAACCGGGAGATGGATGCTCATTCACTCCAAATTGAGAGGAGTTCAGCTTCATTGGCTTCTCATGCCACAGATTGGACTTGCGTGGAGGCCATGCCTCTTGCTGGAAAAAATATGAATGAATGGATGGTTGAGTTGGATGTTATTGCGAGAGAAGTGGAGGCGGAGCTAGTTTCAAGAGAAATAGGATGCGATTTGGTTGAAGTTTTAGATGCCGTGAATATGGTGCTTTTCAAGTCAAGGGGTTTCAAAAGGTCACCTGTACTTGTGGATTCAAAGTGTGCATACCTGCATTCAGTATTAAGCTCTGGATATTGTAGTGGTATATTTTCTTGTTCCCTCCCCGCTATCATCATTATTTTGCATATGTACGAAATCCTGCAACCTCAAAATTCTTGTTGACCGCTGATAATACGATCTGACGTAGTGCTTACTTTCTTTACAGCAATTTTGCTTAGTGTCATTTATATTGAAGTCTGTCGAAGACTTAATCTGACCATTGTGGGATCCCGAGTTGGGGAAGATTTTTTGATATGGCCTCAAACTGGAAACCCTGAGGTGTGTTGTTCTGAACTCATAGATGATGTCAACATCTGACTTTGTTCGTCCATCCTGTACCATTTTACTTCCTTTATATTCTATTCCTTCAGAAGTTTGTAATGCATGGTATTAATGCCCAATAATCTCATTGAATTTGAATTGTTTTGTTACTCTTATAGGAGCTATTCAAGGTTATCTCTGGTTATAGCTTGTTTGGTATTGTTAATGGGAAGTGTGTCGATGACCCTAGAGCAAAGGCTTCTGACATCAATAGCAATTCTTTGCCGGGGCTTGAGTTAGCAACAAACCGAGATATTATTGGAATTGCTTTGGCTAATTTGATGGTAAGATGTATTCCCTTGTAAAGAGTAGTCGGTAGCGCTGTTTTAGTTTACATTCATGCATCTCACCGTGTTGATGCTATGGTTGTAACCAAAACTATTCCTTCAGAGGCTTCACTGGAAACGTGCTTCAAGAGCAAATCATGGTTTGATGCTGACTTCTCCGCTTAGATCTGTTGATCATGCAGATGATAAGTCTAGCAAGACTAATTGTCTGAATGTCCCATTGTTGCGGCCTCAAGATTTGAGGTAACAATCTTATCCTTTCTTGTTTTCTTTTTACAACTTTTGGGTCTCGTTCCTGATTAAGCAGGCGCCACTTTCTCTTGTCCCTACAGGTTCAAGATGCTAAATTGCAACCTTTGGCATGAGAAAAGGAGAATTGAGAATATTGGACGCATATTGTTATTTTATTGATTCTGACATACTACTAAAACTCTTAACATTCCACTAAAATAACCACTTAATCAATCTTGCTGCGATATAATAGATGCTTATACCTCCATTTAAGTTTATAACATAACGAACTATAGGGTAAAAGATTCCTCACTGATCTAGCTTCATATTGGTATTAAAAGCCCTTTCTATTTCAATATACTGATCAAATTGAAAATGACTAGATACTGCATTATGCAGATAGATTGACTTTCTTTTTACATACTTTTAGCCTCTTCGCCCTCTTACTCCTTTAATGTTGTTTCTCTTCACCTCTCCGACATTCCTTTTAGAAATCCAAGAAAGCTAACCTTATCTTTCTCCCTTTCTGATCTTTAGGATTTGATGCTCTTTTTAGATACTGTAGATACAAAATATACCATGTTTGGATGCATTTATTATATTTGATAGTTGAGGCCAACTATTCGGGGTTTTTTGTTCCACCAAATCTATTAGTTTTTCTTACAAAATCAAGTCAATTCTCCTAACCAAATGTTGTTAAACAGGCAAATATGCTTGCCTGATGATCAACCATTAATTACTTAGAAAAGGAAGTGGTATGCTGGGGGTGGGGGTGGGGTGTTACAGAAGTAACAATGATACCTCATCCACTGTCACATAGAAATGCATGATGGTCTTTTTGCATCTACATTCTCTTTTAGGGGACCATCTGTTTCTGTTTAGAGATATCCATTCAGCACTCTTTCCTGCTTTTTTTCCGTTGTGCATAATATTGAGGTGGTAATAATTGGTACCTGTTATTTCTTCGTTGTATATCAAGTAACAATGAAGTAGGAATTGAATCATTTGCCAAATTGCAGTACACACATGGGACATATAGAGTTTTTAAGCTATCAAATAGGGCCATAACACTACTTGGCATTTAATGATTGTCTTTTAAGCATTATGTTTTATCTAACGTGCAGAACCATGCTAGTCTCGAGTAAGGATGGATCATTTTCCATCTTACTATTCTCGATGATAAGCAAAACGATCCAAGATTTGTGTATTTTCTTAACTAATTGCAGGTGTTGTGCTTAAATTAAGGTTTTTCTGGTTATCACTCAGAGATTTCTGACCTTTGCATTAGGTCATTAACTTGTATCTGTATGTAATATCTGTTCACTTATAATGACATTATGTCTCTCTCTGGAATGACACAATACTTTCTAGGCTGGCCATTATGGCTTCAGAAAGATTGCTCATTCTGCAGCCACACAATTGGGCTCTGAGGAGAGACCATGGAATGATGTTGTACTATAGTAGGTATGCCTTATCTGAAATTTCCTTCTTCTTTCTCATTTTCGACATGCTTTCACGGAACAGACTGTTGTTTTGACATATAAATAACATGCATCAGGGAATATGAAGAGGCAGTTCAGGAGCTTAGCATTTGCATGGCCTTTGCCCCAGAAGAAGAAGCAGAAGTTTTGGAACCATTTGTTGAGAAGCTACACTTGTTGCGAGTCGAATCGTCTTGGAAGTCTCAGGGAAAGAAAGGCCATTTAACAGTTTCTTGAACTGTTTCTGGTTTGTAGAGCCATTGAGCTTGTATTAAGAGCACAACCAGTAGAACTTTAGCTGCAATATCTTTTTTTTGGGCCTTGTGTACATATTTTCCTTCAACCAGAGGCTAAATTTGCATCCTTTCTATAATGAGATGAATAACATAAGTACTTAATGGAAAAATCTTCTTGACGCTTCTAGAAATGAGTCTTGCAATGCGTGGTCTATCATATTCATCTGCAATGTTATTAGAGTACTATTTTTTTTTTTATATAAAGATGCAAACCACTATTTTTAATGCTAATGTAATAAGATTATGAAAAGAAATAGTTTGAAAAAGCTACTTCTCCACTGCCAGTTGCATCAAATTTGTTCAAGTGATTAATCATTATTTGTAGGCTGAATATGACTGATTAGCTGATAAGATTAAGTGGAATTATCCTAGTTATAAGTACCCTCAAAAGTCCAAACATGCAATGTGGTCCCAAGTTTACAGCCACCCTCTTAAGATAAACAAAGAGATCAAACGTATCAAATAAGTGCGTTAGGCTGAATTTGAGCGAGTTAAAATGTTGAGTTAATAAATGAGTGGGTTATTGATCCATACAAAAGTTACGTACCTGGACTGGATTGTGAGTCATAACCCAATTTGTCCATTCTTACTATGTTTTAGTCATTTTATTTATTTATAATTTTTGTTGTACTTTATTAATTTTTTAACTCATCATATGTTGTTTATTGGGTTTTGATTATCACACTATTTAGTCTATTTTGTTCTTGTAATTGCTTCTTATGTCGACTGTGCACTACTTTTCTTATTTAATTGTATGTTTTCTTCATAGTTTTCTGTTTCTACTACTTGGGAATTGACACACATAAGTGAATGGTCTTTCGAAAACAACATCTCTACTTCCATGATGTATTAGTAAGGTCTGTATACACTCCACCCTCTCCAGATCTTATTGAGTGGATCACTAGGTATGTTGTTGTTGTATTATGATTATATATAACACGTTAATAAAAAAAAATTACTTCAAAAAATATTTTGACAAAACTTATAATTGATCTTTCTAGGTACATATCAATCTAATTTTGATAGACCGAAACAAATTAGGCTTAAATGGAGCAAATAAATTAGCAGGTTAATTTTCTGCCTAAACATAAACAGATTGGACGAATTATATTTTTGGACTAATTTTATCACATGTAATGTATATGAATATCACTAGACATTAGGAAAAATTGTACAACAAAGACATCTTGGACTTTTTAGCAAGAATCATGTAAGCTATTAAAGAATGTCATGAAGTGTGCTTGTTTTCTAGTAAACAAGGCTGTTCTCAATGAGAATGACATGAATAGTAGATATATATCATATTCATCTACATGCATTATTATTGCCATTCGACAATCGTTCAACGGATTATTTTTATAGTGTCTATCACATGAAGATGCTCATTTGTAATGTCTGTCACATGAAAATGCTCAATAAAGATCGATGAGATTACTTTAGGTACAATGCTTATAGCATGAGACAAACACAACTATAATTTGGACTCTACGAAAAGTAGGAAAATAAAAGAGGCGTTTCCACAAAATTTGCCTCATTTTCTGAATAAAATGCATATTGA